CAATCTGTGTTTGGTATGTTTGCTTTTTTCTTTTCTTCTATTTTTTTACTAGTACTTTTTGTGCCCCTAGCTGAGCACCCTCTAGCAGTGCCAAACAGTCGGTGGGTCCTCGTTTGGATCGCCTACTGCACTCTTAGGGGGGCCGCTCGGTTCAGGATGTCTGTGTTGCCTGTGGGTGATGATGGATGGTCGTCGGAGTGTCTCCCTGGCTCAGTGCGTGGTGAACCAACAGTCTGCGGGGTTCAATCTTGATGTGAGTAGGTCATCTGCCGCTTTGCTCCGTGTTGGATGTGTGGACTCCCTTGTCCGCCCTCTGCCGCTGCCTTGCTGCTGTCCCGGTTGCTTCGCATGTGGTTCTCTGCAAGTTGATGTGTTCCCTGTGTGGTGTGGCTGCGTTGTTGGTGTTGCCTTGTGCTCCGCTACTCTGCTGCCTTGCTGCTGATCCACTGGTCGTGCCTTCTGCGGTTGCTGCTTGCGTGACTGGTAGGTTGGTTGCCTTGTTGTTGTTGCCTTGTGCCTCACTGCACGGTTGCCGAGCTACTGGTCCGCTTGCATTGTCGTCTCTTGCAGTGTGGTTGCCTTGCTTGTGTTGCCTTGCGCTTCACTACATGGTTGCTGTGCTGTTCACCCGTCTTCCGTTTACCGCGTCGTTCCTCGCAGTCGTTTTGGCATTGGGCAGCCCTGTCGCCTCTACTGCGCCGCCTGGTGCTCCACAGGGTTGCTACCTGCTGCTATGTTCCGCTTGGGGACAGTCTGCCTTCAACGAGGGTCAAAGGTTCATGACCCAAACCATCAAATACGGAGATTCCACAGATTGTCGAGGGTTCAGCCTCCTGATGAGTCGGTGAAACTCTGACGAAAACAATCTATCATCATCGGCTTTTATTTTTTTCGGTCTTCTGATTTTTTGGGACTCTTATTTTTTTTATGTTTGCCTGTTTCGTGTTCTTGCATGTTGTCTGCCCTCTGGCCTCCCCCTGGCCCTCCAGCCTATGACTTGATGTCCTTTTGCTTGTTTTTTTGGGCATGCTCTGATGTTTTCCTTGTCTGCCTGGTCTTGTGCTTGCATGTTGTCTGCCCTCTGGCCTCCCCCATGCCTTCTGTTTGGCACTGTGGAAAGCTGATCATGGATAACCACGTATGTGCGAGGTAGCTCCAGAGAGGTAGTAGAGGGGCAACTCCAGAGAGGTAGTAGAGTGGCAACATACAGCGCTAGTTTGGTTGCGGCAGGGCGGGGTGTACCATGGGTTCCATGGGGTGCATGGTGAGTACACCATGGGATATATTAAATACACACACACACACAAACACACACACACACACACACACACACACACACACACACACACACACACACACACACACACACACACACACACACACACACACACACACACACAGTCTTGGAGTTGTGTATAGCGAACATGACAAACCACATCAACAGACAAACTACGAGCTGTGCACCCGTGCCCTCACGGTAAGTCAATCCCGACCATACAAAAGATGAGCCTTAGGTACTGGAGTGGCACCCTGCTATACGGCATCCTCTAGTACCGGAATCCTTTATACAGCCGGAATATATGCTCAAGACGGCCGTCACCTGAGCTCAAAGTTCGTATTTCCCCCGCGCCCCCTCCCCCCTCCCTTCTTTTTTTGAGTGATTTTTTAATTGAAAACATCTATTTCTGGATTGAAAACATCTATTTCTGGATCGAACTCCGATCAGGAATATCCTTTCAGCTGAGTTCAGCGTCCGTGTTCAGCTGAGTCCAGCGTCCGTTTACGACATTATTATGTTCACGGTCGTGTACATGCTCAAAGGCAGGAGCAGTGACAAGCGGCGACTCCGCATTCTTCATGCAGTGCTCTTCAGTGCGCGTCAAGCGCGTACCTTCAGCTTGAATGAACTTGCGCGTTCTCAGCCTCTCAGGCCCTTCGGACACAAGTGGCAGTCAGCGCCCTACGTTCTTCCCCCGATTACAACGCACGGTCATTATAGATGCATTTAGACTGAAAGATGCCCCAAATACAGCTATAATGACCGTGCGTTGTACTCGGGGGAAGAAGGTAGCTCGCCACTGCTGGCAGGTTAGTAATGCGAGATGGGATAGAATGGGGTCATGCAGTTTGACCAATCCCTGAGTTTTTGCAGAGTCCGTGTCAACAAGTGAAGTGGCCTGTCATTTCACGACGACGGGCCGCCCATGGAAACCCGAACGACTTCTTCGTCTGCTTGTTTCTATTCGCCGCCGCCTCCTCCTTTAAGCCGAAGGAGAGGGTCTCGAGCATCGGTTTTTTGACTGAATGTTTCACTGATTGATTGCGATCACAGATCTCCTTCTTGGTCTCCTTCTTCTTCTTCTTCTTTGCCGGCTGCTGTTCCTCGGACTTCAGGAGATGGTGTCGTGAGTGGACTGACGCAGTGATTGGTTGGTACCCTGATCTTCTACTTCTTCTTTGCCTCCTCCTCCTCCTCCTCCTCCTCCTCCTCCTCCTCCTCGAATTTGACGGAGAGGGTCTCATGCTTTGACTATGTTAAGCGCACTGATTGATTCTTCGTCTTCGTCGCCTTGAAGCTGGGGAAGGCGATCTCCCCCTGATTGATTCTTCGTCTTCGTTGCCTTGAAGCTGGGGAAGGCGATCTCCCCTATTGACCGGCCGAGCGACTGCTTTATTAACTGACTGATTGGTTGATTGGTTGATTGGTTGGTTGGTTGGTTGGTTGGTTGATTGGTTGGATGAGGTGATGAGGTTGATTGTCGCCACGTGGTTTCTGTGATTCACCTTGTACCTTGAAAGAGAGCGCGGTGGGCTGGCAACGCTGGTGCCCTGTGGTGGTGGGCAGCAGACAAGATGTTAAACCACTTGCAGCAGATTATCATTCATCTCAACCTCCATCAGCAGCAGCCGAGGGCGAAGCATTTTCCCTGCGCAGCTCATCCCAGGCCGGAAGACAACATCCACTTGCCCTTCACTGCAGCTGAGGTCGACCGACCATCGCCCCGGCGGTGATTGTGATCACATCTGGGCTGATTTTCCTTCACTGATCGATCACTCGATTCCGCGATGTTCGAGTCAGCAGGCAGCATGGGCGCGCCAGCCCACGAAGCCGCGACACCGAAGCTGAGATCCCAATCCAGTGACGTCACTGAGCTGCGCAATTTGTTCGACAAGCAGAAAGAGTACGTGAACTACTTCTTCGAGAATCTGGATCTCGACCAGGTGGAGAGATTCACCCAGTTGCTGATGGGATGCAAAGGTGTGATCATATTCACTGGGGTAGGGAAGAGTGGGTTCATAGCTCAGAAAATTTCGCAGACGCTGGTGTCGACAGGAACCAAATCGGTGTCAATTTCGCCTACGGATGCTCTGCACGGAGACCTGGGAATCGTGGGGGAGGAGGACATCATCGTGCTATTCAGCAAGAGCGGATCGACGGAGGAGCTTCTGAAACTCATCCCGTATGCGAAGGCCAAGGGCGCCTACTTGATTGGAGTGAGCTGTGTGAAGGGGAGTAGCCTGGAGAAACTGTGCCACATGCACGTGCATCTGCCGCTGGTCAGGGAGCTCTGCCCTTTCGACATGGCGCCCGTCACCTCCACGGCCATCCAGATCTTGTTCGGCGACACTGTCGCCATAGCTCTCATGCAAGCTAAACACCTAACGAAAGAGGAGTACGCCCTCAACCACCCAGCAGGAAGAATTGGAAAGCGACTGATCCTCAAAGTGAGTTCAAACCCTCATTACACCCTCATTACACCCTCATTACACCCTCATTACACAGCAGGAAGAATCGGAAAGCGACTGATCCTCAAAGTGAGATCAAACCCT